GCCATATGATAGCAATAAATAGACGTCTACGTTCAAAGAAATGAAAGTTGATAGATTAAAACACTTGGACAATAATACTATCCTTACTTACATACTTACTTACGCCTGTTACTCCCAATGGAGCATAGACCGCCGACTAGTATTCTCCAACCCACTCACTCTGTCCTAGGCCTTCTTGTCTAGTTTCATTTTTCTCATATTTATCTTCATTTCTCAGCGTAATATATTCTTTAGTCTTCCTCTCCCCCTTCGGCCTTGAGGATTTCATGTGAGGGCTTGTCTTGTGACACAGTTCGGTACTTTTCTCTATGTGTGTCCTATCCACTTCCAGCGCTTCTTCTTGATTTTTTTCTCCAATGGGATGAAGAAATACTACATTTAATGAAATCATTCACCGTGAAATTAGTTAGTTCATTCATTTTATTTCTATTTCAGAATGAACTTTCTGAAAATAACTACTTTATAAATCTATATTACTCTGTAAAAGCTGAATTTCCAAAATCATTTGACGCAACTAAATACAAATACTTAACGTGAGTTACATTTCATTATTACACGTTATTATTCATTGCACACTTTCATACAAACTAAACTATGTGTTTATAGGACATCATGATTCATAACAATCTATATTTCAAATAAAGATTTTATAGATCATAGTGAACTAAATCAGAAAACTATCATAACAGTAAAAGGAATATAAAACGTGTTAAGATGATGGAGAAGATTTTAGGTCAGTTAGATGATTTTCATGGAGTTTTATTCTGTGAGCATAAATTTCACATAATATTGTTTAGAAGAACAATAAAAGCTCCACAATTAAAACCATCTAGTTTAGAGATGTATTTTGGTCAGGGTTTTAATGTCATAAAAAGTGGAGTAGTATTTTTGGGTCAAAACTACAAATGGTACAATTTACTATGATTGAATGTAATCATATAAGTCAAATGTACTAATAATCAATAATAGTGTAGTTCAATGTAATTAGGTAATCAAATATGATCATAAATGTTTAATAGATACTATTAGATGATTTTTAATAAGTAGTTATTCTAAAGTAAATAAAGTAGTCAACGTATTATTATGTTCATTTGACATTCATACACGACATACAATTAGATTATGTGTGCTGTGTTGATACTTGAAACTGAAATACTTCCATACATTATCATCATTGCATTCATAATCTTAAAAGATGAACATTGGATAACTGAAAAAATACATGCTGAAAATTTAACACGTACAGGACGCCAACAATTTTGAACGTGAGGATAATTATCCAAACGGACAGCAGTGCTTGACTTCACAGGCGTTGTCATTTACACGCCATTTGTTCCCTCAAGATACTCGGTTCCATGTACACCATTGGTCCGAAATCACGGTTTTCCAACTTCTCTAGGTAAATCCTCAGTTTCCATCAAGTCGGTCACAGCGCCGAATATTCGTTTTTCGTTCTTAAAATTCTGTAAATAACAACCCCACTAAAAGGAGTGCAGCGATTAGGATTTTCTTTGGTAGTAGATGTATACGCGTGAGCATGTTAGAGCATTTCAAGTAGAGTGCCCCTCCACCCTTAGCCGCATCAGGGCATTTGAGAGCGAAATATTTAACAAGTAACACGAAAAGAAGGCCAACAATGGTGAACAAGGGAATAATCATTCAACTGGACGGTATGGCTCGACTTTGCAGTGGTGGTCATTCTCTATAACTTGTCTTTATTCGCATTGAATATATTATTCCATCTTCAGGTTAAATGTGTTCTTCAAAAGTACTTAAAATCATATTTTTAATTGTTACAACACGATATGTCAATGTAAACAATGATGTAACTTATAGTTCAAGTAGTCACATCATAACATATAAACAATTTAATGATTACGTCTATTACTATATCAGTATTATCAACGATCTACAACATAACACTACACATATTCTTCCGTTTTATGTTGCACTTTGAATGTATCTATCACCAAGAGGATAGTTGATCTCAAATAGTTGCACTGCATGAAGCCTAATTGGTTGAAATCTCTTAATGTTACTAACCCTATTCGAATTCCATTCTATGGAATAAAATATTCACTGTATATCACAACATACGATGTAATATCAGAAAATAGACTTACACCAAGTTAGTTTAATCACAGGTTTATTCATCCACACCATTCTCATGAATAAAAAATTCATTAATCTTTCTGAGTAAATCAATCTTTGTTGTATATTTACAAATATTTAGACCTGAATTCTTCACTCTCCATCCGATTATGTATAAACATCATCATACAATTTTTATATCTTCTGGATTATTATATCCACCATTCTTCAATGCATTACATTCAATATCTGAAAAGTATGGAACTTTCGGTTGGCTTATTGGTCGTTATTTTATATCTCAAGGTGAGTTTTATATTATCTCTCTTTGTCCCCTGAATCACAATAATTCATAATCAAGTATTAAGAATTAATCATGAATAATTGAGAAATGTGTGAGTGTGTATGTGAACTGTTCCTGTAAACCTATGAGATCTACGTGAACAGAGACCAATGGATATTTCAGCAAAATATAACTACTGCTAGTAATCTAGTTATTCTGAATTACCTATCCGGATTCAAATAGTATAAATTCAAATATACCTTTCATATGTATCCTGTGAAAATTCACAAGACAATAGTAGTAATTCAGTTAAATTGGTCAGTCAAAATTAATCAGTATTGCGAATGTATAATTGTTATTATAATTCAATTAGATGTCATCTGATTTCTGTGCAAATTAAAACTCTTTATTCTGAATAGCCTACATAGTGATAGTGAACTATTGTCTAATGAATATGGCATATAGAATTTAGGTGTAACTCTTCTGATTTATTATATATATAAATGATTACGTCCGCAATGGGATAAACAATAGAACATGGATAAACAAAATTTATTATCGATGGGTATAGCGATACGGTTGTAGATCACCTAAAGTTAACTTATTGAGAGAAATGATTTTCATTGAAATTTATTTTATTTTTATTTTAACACATAAAGGTACCTAATACAGATGTGCTACACAGATCTCATTTGATATGTGTGAGGGCTGTAGTACTACCCGGGTGCCCAATCCGAAGCAGGTGTTTCACTTAGGGGGACATACCCAGAGCCTTCGACCTGGACGTCTGACCCACAAGGCAGTGGAGCATCGTAAGGAGATGAAGTCCCATGGTAGTCGGTGACCAAGAAATTGGTTAAAACGCCATTTGTTCCTTCAGGATACTGAAGCCATCCCATGTGCACCATTGGTTTGGGGTCCGGTTAAAGCGCCAGAAAATCGCTTTTCGTCCTCTCATTTTCATAAACAACACCCTCGCCACGAGAAGTCAGTGAGTAGGACTTCTCTGACAGAGGCTTTATATGCGTGGCCATGTGAGAGCATTTGGAGAGGGTAAGCGGACTCTCCCCACTCTCGGCCGTACCAGGACATTTGAAGGCTTTCATTGAAATATTATCCCGGTAACTACTAATACATGAAATGCTGTTTACACATGACACAAATACACGAAAATCAATTTTAATGTCTTCAGCAGTCATTCTATTTAAAATTCACGTCATATTGCTTCTTGAATACCTAGTATAATAAATGAATATTTTCATTTTAGTTTTTGGTAATTCTGAGTTAAAAAAAGAAATGAAACATGAAACAGAGTGTTCACCAACACCTACTAGACCGTTTGAAATTCAACTGTGTTGTTTATCAGAACAATTCAATTCTGAAATATTTCAGGAAGATGTGAGAATCTTTACACAGTTTTACAATATTTCCATTTTGGGATTGATGTTTTTTTAAGGTATACATACTGAGGAATGACTGGTAAATGAATCAGGTTATTCAATCAATACGATAGTAATAAATAACAGAGAAAGATATTACATTTGTTATCTGTGTCTATCAAACACTCTATCATTGAATGATGTAAACAGAGAAACAAGAATCTTAGTAAAACTATGAAAGATATCTTTCGGAAGCTTATTTCATTTTATTCAAAGCTTGTAAAATACTGACATCACACTGTCATTCGATATTTTTTGGATTCATTTGAAATTTAAACTGAAAGAAAATGATTTTACATTTTTTTGAAATGATGGAGAAGATTTGTAGCTCAGTTGGATAATTTTGATGAAGTTTTGTTCTCTGACCTGGATGATTTGATCATGGAGCTTTCATCGTTCTTCTTCTGAATGATATCATCATCAGCACAAACTTCAGATAGAAATGTCAAGTGTTCGAATTTCTCTATAAAAATGATGAAAGCTCCACGATCAAACTGTCTAGCTCAGAGAATAAAACTCTATCAAGATTCAACAGTTTGTCGTGTCTATTTTCTCATTTATATTAGTGACAATTCTCATGAGCATAATGTCAATGTAATGAAAAATACATAGGAAATTAAACTTTTACTCACAATTAGAAATTATCAAGACTTAGCACAGTGTGATGTTGTTAGTACAGGAAAGACATGTACCATGATTCAATTGTATGTCAGGATTCACAAAACTTGGGAGGAGTAATCGAACAATGCAATCAGAGGTTAATGAACATGTGCCTAAATGGCTTCAAAATCAATGTGTGTCAAACGATCCGATCAACGTGGATGGTAGAAAACCAGGTTCATCGATAGTGAAACATATAACTAAAACGGGGCACAAAATTGACATTAATGCAGCTTTTAAAATGTTGTATAGAAATTGTCAAGAACAAATTTTTAAGATTATTGAAGCCATGGCTATTCGTAAATGTGACCCCCCCCCCTTTATGTGTATAAAAAAACAATTTGTCGTAACCTTGAATTTAACTTGGTAATTCTTAAGTCCTTCTATGAACTAGGTTAACGCGACAATTTCTTATTCTTTCTCTCCCCTTTCTTACTAATTTTTGTTTGTTTGTTTATTTGTACTTTAATATACTTTCGTGTAATTGACCTTTATTAATTTTTATATAAAAATACCCTGAAAAGTGAATATGTGTGATCAGATTGTTCGAAATGTATAACGCAAATACCATCACATTTTTCAGATCAGATCAACACTCGGTCTTCTTTGATTGTTCTATCGAAATTGTTACAATCACTTAACATAACATTGTGTTAAAAACATTCCATGAAATGTAGTAAATCATATAGATAGGTGATTGCGGCGAGACTCTAATTCAGGGACGACCTTTGAAGTAGTTGTCCCATCTCTTGTAGCCTTTCGATAATAACCTCATCTCTAAAATCCGCCGTAAACCGATCGCATGTCAGCATCATGCGTTAAACTTGGCTCCGTGACCTTGAAATGGCTCAAACGCTTCTGATTGGCTCGTCCCTAAATTAGAGTCTCGCCATCAAATTAGAATAACGAATGTAATTAATTGAAATTATTGGATAATACCAGAACTATATATAACTGGTCAATTTCATAAGTAACCATGTTGTATTTCAATCTATTCATACAAGCATCTAATATATTAATATTGTTTAACTATACACATATATTCTATAAATTTTGTGTAATCTCAACCATTTTTAAATCAACTAGAAATTGAGAAGCTTATCAAATGATATAAATGGTCTTATGTTATCATTTGAAGTAAGTAATTACGTATTTTATTTCAATGGTTAAAATCATGAGCCAGTTGAAGCTAGAAAACCATGGAAAATTTGGAAGCACTGGACGGCCGTTTCGTCTTATTATGGGACTCCTCTGTGGCAGTGCGCATCCACGATGTCGCCTCCTGTGAGATTCGAACCCAGGACCTATTTATTTTATTCCTCAGTCGTTAATATTCACAAATGACATATGCATTCTGTATACGTCCAGTCAATTCGGATTAAACAAACTCATAGGATGTGATATACAGTTGACAACATTTGCATTTGACATTAAAAGGAGGAATAAATCAATGAAAATTTAGTAGACCTTTCGATCATGTTTGATTTTTTTGTCTATCATGATGAAATAATGATATATTTCAGATAGTTGAGAGAGCAGAATATAGAATATTTGACATTTCGTGATTACATTTAGGTTGGTTCTGCAGTGTAGATATGCATTAAAGTGCCTTATCAAAGTAATTTGTAGATGGTAATGATAGAGTTTATCGTTGATGCATTGAAGGTGTGGTGAAACTGGCTGATGTCAGGAGATGCATGAAATGTTGACACATGCTGATACTACTGGGCGTCAGGTCGAAGGTGACGCTTAATGGTGTGGCTATTGTGAACAGGAAAGATATTCGGGGTGTATTTGATGCAAATAGTAATGGCAAGTCCTTTGGGTTTAGAAACGCTAGATATTAGAGAAGGCGGAAACAAAACTCATTTGGAGGTTGCTATATGCTTTTTACTATATGAAACGCGCTTGTGGTTGTCAGGTTAACGAGCAGTTGTTCACTGTACACGAGAATGCGGGCAAGTGAGAAAATGTCAGTTTACATAGTTGATACGGACGTGACAATAATGCCAATAGAAGAAGGAAACAGCAGAAGAATTAGTTCTCCGACGTTGAGCGCTGGAAAATGAAAAGTTCGAGGTGGCTGAACACTTAAAAACTAAACTAAAAGGAAGTTCTGATTCCAGAAATATTCAAATGGATGACCAAAGGATATGTGTATTTATCAACTAAACAATGGAACCTCTCTCACTAGCATTTGTCTCCCAATGCCTTGTGCGGTAGCGTGATACTTTTTAATATATATAATATTCTCTATTGTTAATTTACTCACATTTATTGCAGGCGTACAACGGAACGTTGACTGGAAATCTTGAACGTTTAAATGAAAAGAAGTTGTTTTTCTCAGCATTTGCGAAAGTAAGTTATTTGAATGGGAACTCAGTTCATAGTGATTTATGTTAAACGTGATGAGCTATGATCAAATTTGGAAGAATACTAGCAAACTTACATTTCAACCATCTTGTAAGTAAAAATGTTACTCACAAAAGAGACTAACTATAGGAATTACTTTGATGAAACGGAGTATACCAGTTAAATAATAAAATTGTGATAGATCAATTCAGTAATGAGTTCTCGCTTTGTTAAACTTATCTTGAAGTTTTATAATCTCAAATACCCATCTTCTTTTCAGAATGATAATCAACAATATGTCTGTTAAATAAAATCAAAATAACAACGATTATAATGATATTTTTGTTGGGCATGGTAACAAACACACTGACATAACAAAAACTCACATATATTATTGTTGTTAAGAAACTCCATATACGGCTTTTTTGAGCTTAATAACTGTGAAAGAAAGGTTGCATGACGTGATATGATGAAATGTTGAATTTGAGATGAAATGTGATCACAAAGAGCCTAGAAACAGAAATATGTTGGTTGGAGACCTGACAATGAATAAAGATGAAGATAGGAGACATGGTGATAGTTCGCTATATTTATAGAATCCACCATAATTACCGTACAGCTTCGAACATAAATGTTCTGAAATTAGAAATATTCTCTGAATCAACCGTTCTATTTTAAATAAGTTTATGTGCTAATGCGCAAAACCAGTAGGTCCTGGGTTCGAATCTCGCAGGGGGCGAGGTCGTGGATGCGCACTGCCACAGAGGAGTCCCATAATAGGACGAAACGGCCGTCAAGTGCTTCCAGGTTTTCCATGGTTTTCTAGTTTCAACTGACTCGTGATCTTAACCATTGAAGTTTAAAATGATTGAAATATTCTACTCATGAGTCGTATGTTGATAAGTTGTGTATTAGGTTGAAATATTATAGTGAATGGAAATATAATTCATCTCTCGAATATTCACACCCAACATACGAGATTTAAATCAATCAGTGTAGTAGAAAAGTGTACATTATAGATTACAGTATATAAATACTGATAATCATCCAGAAACTTTAAAAATTTTCAACATAGTTTATAAATATCGACTACAGTTTGAATAATAAGGTTCGCTGATAAACTATAACATTTATGCCCATACAAAATCACTTTCAATTAAACACAATTACTGAGCAAACACAAATGCCTCATTTTAAGTAATGCCTAATATGCTAACAAGATTTTGTTGACCGGATAATGCGAAACACGTATATGCGGCTCATGATGATTTCAATCCGGAAGAGTGATTTTCAAGGAAGAGAATAAAAACTTTGTAACCTGATTGCTTCCATGATTTCATTTTCTCACTTTTCAACATTAACTGTCTTTGCTGATGACTTAGTTCAACTACATTAATGTGCATAAAATCTACTGTATTTTGTGGCTTGTCAAAGTAGACAGACTTGACGAAACTTTGTAGCCTGGTGTCTAGTTGAGCTTGACTATGAACACCGCTACAAGACTACGTGCCAATAGAACAATAAAATCCTCTTAGAACGATATCAGAAGGCAGATGATAGTATTAGTTGAAATATATTTGCTGGCAATCTCGTGGTATCGAAATAATACCAAGATCGTGCCAAAGAAGTACAAATGCGATCGGCAAGGAAAGATACGTGCGTAGTCGCAAACCGCGCAGAAGTAATGGAGTCCAATGGAAGACCAATATGGTTGTTATTAGCACAGTTAAACAAACGAGCACAATAAAACAATCGCTGGTACAATTGGTTATAATAATAATTGTTTTCATCGAACCAATCGCGTTCTGTTGACAAAAGTAGGTCACTATAACTTCATGATTTTACAATTTTGTGGTTGATTTTCAAGCAGTCAATGATAACAGACACCATTTTTTCACTTTGTTTTATTTACATGAAACAGTTTATCACTCCATCAATCTCTCTCTACTTAAGCAATAATTTCACAGTCAACTTTAGCGTCGAATAAATCAATCATAATCAATGTTTGCATTCATTGACAGCCACGGTCAAAGATTCAACAACACTAAAAGAAGGGAAATCATTCATTAAAATACAAAAACCATGTCACATCTCTCAAAACCGAAAATGAATGTGTTGATTATTATGTAGGCTCATTTATTTGAATAAATAATAATAAAACAGTATTTCAGTGTGCCTTCGTTCCATATGTTGTTTATCTTAACATATACAAAAACATAGTCCAAAGATTCTTTCCCGTTTTCTCAAAATAACTTTCTTGTCTCATAACTTTGTGAAATGATTGTTAGTTACTTTCATTGAATTATATATACAATGTATCAATACACTTTTCATTCTCTTCATTTTTGCCTATCTCTGATAACTGAAGATGATGTGCGATAGCTTATTATCAAATATTGTTGATGATAAATTACGGTCATCTATGCAATACTACGAATCCAGGTAATTCATTTGTATTTTCATAAGTTCATTCAAAAATATGATCACATAATATGTGTTAAGAAATTGTCAGTTAGTTGTTGGCTGTCAAAACTATCATTCAATCATTTGCTTTTACTTGGTTACTGAATAAAGACTAAGTTTTTATTACAAACACCCTCCTATTATAAACGTACTTCTAACAGTGTACATATGATTGTTAGCGTCAACTAATGCAACTATTTAGTTTACAATCGTTGAAAACAAATCTATTTCAACAAATACTCTCATTGTTTCTGTAATGAGTTCATGAATGGGAAATCATAACATTAGATTACATTTTTACATAAATAGTTTCATGTAGTTTATTCTAATTTTCTTTATTTTCAGTTTGAATGATGTTGTAAGAAACAGTCAAGGATTTTCGGAAACGTACCAGTGCAAAATTGGTTCCATAATGAGTCCTATGCGTAAATGTATACTTTAAAAAAAACATTAACCGTTTGCGTGTGTATGTGTGTGTGTGCACAAATATTCGTTTGTCTGTTTAATCAATTCTGAAATTAAAACTATTATAATGCTTCACTCCAATCTTTTTTTAAATAATTACCATTTTAATACTGTAGGTTAAATGAAATATTTAAATGTTACAGTCCGATGAATTGATTTCGACAAGTCCCGTTGAATAATTATTCCAAAATGTCGCTTCTACAATATCCTTATAAGTGTGCAGTTTAAATAAATCTGTTGTATGTTGAAATCCCGGACGACTGTATTCCTAATATATTTTTGAGGAAATATTTCTGAAACCGTAACGTAGGTGTACTGTGACAATAAATTTGATTTGTCTAACAATAATGTAGACGTTTATTGTAAGCCGCAAGGGGGGGCTACTCTAAATTCTACCGATTGACCAAATTTAGATATTCCAGTACGATTTCAATACTGCTCCTCAATCTCCAATCTATCAAAACACGAAGCGTCAGATGAAAATTGTTTATGGGGTCAGGAGAAGAGGAATAATAATACTTTACAGACAAATGCATATTTATGCAGTTAGGAGGACCGTGAATATTGACCAGTAGGGAAACGACACGTGAAATAAATATTAACCAATAGAAAAATGACATCATTTCACGTTCATTGATAGCATTAGACTTAACAGGATAATTTTGGGGTATTTTTATGAATGCCTCAGCAGTGTTGAAGTCAAGCTACTTGGACCATGGACCAAGTCACCATTCCTAAAGCTACGGTTCAGAGAGAATGTTTCTTTCCACATTTCGACTTCCAAAATTTTCATTTTCCATCCGACAACTTGTGAATTACACGTACTAGATTCCTGGACATTCATTTGGTAATTCAGTTTATTTTGAGGATAAAGCTTCATCGAAGACATCACAAATCAACATAAACAATGAGTGGGCGTTACGCTTACTGTATGTGATGAAAATTGTCAGAAACTAACAATTCGTTGATTCAATTTATCACGTTTTATCGATGTTATCTGTGCGTCAAAAAATCTCAATCGTACTGACTGATCTGGTTTTACTGTCGTGCTTTCTCTATGACATGCAACCTTCACTTCTACACGTAACCGCAACCAAAAAGATCATGGTGCAAGTGTTAATTGGCGTTCAATGTAAAACCAGTTCCTTACATAACCGTACTTTATAGAAATCAGCAAACAAACTAGCCAGTTTTTCACTGTTTTTTCCTTTTCTCCCTTCTTTCAGATATACTTCTACTATTTGTATATTCCCTTTCATTGCTTGAGGACTTTCTATGACGCCATAGGAATGACTTAAGTATATTTTTGAAACAGTTCTTCAAATGTCAAGTAGGTGTCTCCCAAAAAGATAATACTCACTGTTATGGAGTGTTATGATTTTTCTGTAGCTATGTCATTTAAAATCACAACTCGAGTGAGAGCAAACGAGGGCAAGACACACAATTGCTGTGAATGACTAAACTTTAATTGACATTTTCGTCAGCATTTAGTTTGTCCTGATTGTAGAATTGAATAGTCCACAACATAGCCTGTACTTAGTTTGACAGACATTGAAAACTTGGAGAGGCTGGACTGTTGGTTCGCCAAGACATGGGATTCCAGATACGTTTGCATTTACGAATGTCATCTTTTCATGTTACAAACGTAAACATTATTGTTTTGCATATAACTATGTCCGAACCATCAACCTGAAGTGTTAAATTCAGTTTCTTAAAGAGTGATGACACAATAGTCTAGTCACAAAAATATCCACAGTTCTCCTCATAATGATAATTCCTTCAAAATATTCACGGCCACGATTGGAAGATTAGCGTGTTATCAATGAAACTATCTATCGGAACCATGGATTACCTGTACAGGAAGGAGGTTCCCCTTGTATTTTTACAGGGACTAGTTTGTTACTGAGTCTTAACAATTACGAAACCCATTTGATTACGTCCATGTTATTCTGAAATGGACATAAAAAATCAAAATATCAATCAACCGTTTCAAGAAATATTTTATGTCTTTATGATCCAGTCGACCACCAGTAGAAGAAGAGGTGACCGTAGGCAACCTTGCCTAAAACCTGTCTTTACTTCGAACGACTTTGTTAACTGTCTTCCATGAGGGATTTTGCAATTTATTCTATCATGGGAATCCCTTGTGATATTCACTAACTTCTCAGACACTCCGTAGTGCCGAAGAGGCTTCCATAGTGTTTTCCTATCTACGCTGTAAAGTCCTTTCTCGTAGTCAATGAAGTTGATGTAGAGTGATGGGTGGAAAGTTGATAAGAACAATTGTAAAGTGTGCTCATTTACATTTAAGTGTGTTTATGCTTCAAGAATAAAATTGATGAAATGCAGAAATGAACATCAGTGAGAGAATTCAAACAAGCAATACAAAAGAAATAAAATGAGTTTCATTTCTTTTGCCAAAACAGTTTGCTCAGCCAATATATAGCAATGTGTTACAAGTGTTCACATGGAAATTTGAAAGAGACGTAGAATAAATAATGAACGAGCAAACTCCGTCGAGCCGTTCAAAAGTGTGTTGCGGAAATTCTATAGGATTTTGACGCGCGGACTTTCTATAGCATGTTTTCGGGTCACATTTTCTTTCACAACTTTTCAACGGATTAATATTTGTGAATGGGGCGTGCTTTGTGTTACTTATCTAATTGAGTGCTATTCAATCATGTATAATATGTACACGTACATTGAGATTTGTACTTGACGATTTACACTTGCTCTTACTCGCCATGTTATATAGGGATACTACCCCTAACTCTCGGTCTGAATTGTCGGACGAATGAAAATCTCGCAAATCCAATGACTGTGATGATTTTGGCGGTGGTGGTGTTGCTGTAATAGTATTCCGACAACAGACAATGGGTTTTAAGCGTTCTTCAAGCCCTAACGCTTCAGGCTGGGCTATTTCGTTTACTACCCTACATATGTGTGGTATACTGTATAAGCTATATTGCTATGTTGAGTTGGAAATCTCGTGTGAGCCTTGGTGTTCGCTATTTATACTGAGGATTGTTCAGCATTGCTTTGGCGAATTTTCCTGACTGTTCATTCATAAATTTGTTTTGCTGGTTCACTGATTTCATTGATGCTGGCCGTTGCTATTCACTGATCTCACGGTCCATTTTTAGTGGGAAATTGTACAGCATGTCGTCGTGGGAAACACTTACGAGTTCAGCCGTGGTGTGTTAGCAAAATAGTTCAACTTTTGCCTGTTTGTACTGTGCATAACTGATTCGTGCGACCAGTGATCGGAATAATTATACATGAGACACAAATATGTATATGAATGGTGCTAATGGTTCAACAGGGTGTTTGGTACCTGTGTGGTTGCGCACAGGATTGAGCTGTACTATTGTAGATAGTCTGACAGTCGTTAGATCATTTATTTATTCTTCTGCTTATTTTTTATTATTACTGTTATTACTAGTGATAGTGTTGGATTGTTGTCGGGTTTTCTATATGGAATTATATTTGCGTTATAGTCAGTCTATTCACGAGGTCTTGATTTGAGCTCTGTTATATTGTGGCGAGATTTATGGATGGTAATTTCTAAGAACGTTATTTTTGGACTTATGAGTAAGTAAAAATACATGATATATTTTTAGTACCTAGTTCTTTGTTTAATGCTGAGTGATGCAACTTTTGATTTCAGTGACGAGTATCAGTTCTGCCACGCTTGTAAAACTATCTTCTTCGTATATTCTCATTATGTTATAAGAATTAAGTCGTCAATATAGAAAAGTTACCCGTCATGTATTTTTGATTCACTTTATCATTCTATTAAATAGTAGTTGCATCAGCTGAAGATTTTATTATCTTGTAGCGTGGTGTCGAGTTGAGCTTAACTATGTACACCGCTACAAGACTACGTGCCAATTAACCAATAAAATCCCCGTAGGTCAATGTCAGAAGACAGATGATGGCTGTAGTCGAGATGTATTTGTTGGCGATCTCGTGGTATCGAAAGAATACCGAGATTGTGCCAAAGGAGTACAAACGTTGTTACTGAGCGTAACCGGATTCGTACAAGTTCAAAGTCAACGGGAGAGTAAGTGTAATGGCTGTCATTAGCACAGTTAAACAAACGAGTACAATAAAACAGTCACTGGTACAACTGGTTATAATAATAATTGTTTTCATTGGACCAATCGCGTTCTGTTAACAAAAGTAGGTCACTACAGGAGCTTCCCTCTAGAAAGGGTTTACACTTTCGATAGGTAGCGGTTTGATTCGTGAGACTGATCGGCAAAAGTGCGGTTGTAGGACGGAAGAATTGGCGAAACAAGAAGCGATCGTTGATTCTCGAGTTGCCAACGAAAGTCTTTTGCGTAGAACGGTACCGGGAGAAGTGTGCTGTATTTGTTGCTCGAGTTGGTATACCACACCAGAGTGGTTTGTATCCAGGATCTGAAGATTGCGTTCGTAGAGATGCGGACCAGAAAAACGCTGCAGACGTAGGACGAAACCACGTTGAGCCAAGAAACCGGAAGCCACCATAACGGCCAAGCGTATGCCAGGCAAATTCGAGACCAGATAATCGACTGAGTGCGTTGACTAGAGCGTGGGTGATCAGACCAGCATTCGCCAAGGTTGATTGAAGTCGACGTTACCAAACGGGAGATGGTCGGAGGCGTGGGCTCAGGATACAAAAAAATCAACAAAAAAAGTGTAGCATGCGTGTATTATGGGAATTGTCCTACACCGTATCCAATGTTGACTGTGCGGTTAGTCGCGAAAGCATACGGGTAATCGTACTCGGCGACCGGAACGTGAGACGGTAGTCTCGTTCGTACTTCGTGAGCCTGCGATCTCATCCGAGGTCAAGGGCGGCCTGGACGTGAGACTCGCGCTGTTGACCGGTACGTGAGAAAGAGCTCTCCGATGAATCTAGCGTGGGATCCGAGGTAGACTTAGAGATCCCGCTAGAAGGTTTGATAGGTCTTGCATTGAGTCTCAAGTTATCGGGTAGGGCACTGTCATTGACGTGTACTGGTTTGAGACGATCAATGCTGACGATCTCGACGCGGCCATGTCGATCAACCTTGAAGGTCTTTTCGTGA